ATCCTCTGAGGCCATACTCATAAATCCGCTTTCTTTTGTAATTCTTTGAGATGAAATTATGATAAAGCATTATGAAACCGTGTTACTCTTTCTGCAAGTAGGTGTATGACTTTCCACTTTATAATAAACACCCCTTTCCCCCCCCGTCCTTTAAAAAAAGATTCGCGTGTGCCCTCCAGGCACGATTTGCTATCGCCTGGTCTGAGGGGGCAACTTCATCGACTTTGGTTGGCAGTGCTTCGTCAGATATAATGATCGCTTCTACAAACCTTATTAGGCGGTCATCGTCATCCAGGCTATGCTGCGTTCCGGGAGGATGCCTCCTCTCCAGGTGCTCATGTTCCAGCGCCGCGTGATTTCCTTCACCGACACGAGTGTCACGGGCGAACTGGTGAACTTGTTCCGAGATCCCCTGTCAGCAAGAAGTCAGAACGAGCCTTTGCCCGAGCTCCACGTGGGCGATGGCGTTCACATCACCGAGGCCCTTGCTACATTGAGCAACAGACGACGAGATCAATCTCGTGGCTACGCTGACACAAGGTATTCAGCACTTCCTGCTCCCAGGATTTGGCCCTGCCCTGTCTGGAGTCAACGACACGTGATCCGGGATCCTATCTTTCCGAACAAGACTTTGCAGACTGCAGATCTTCGTGCAGGAGCTTATGGGCGTTTCGGGGCAGAAGCAAGCGCTGCTACTCCCCGCAAGGCACCGCCTACATCGGCTGTTCCGGTTCGGTGGGCGAAAGCCGCGCGATCGAGATCACCTGTTCCCAAGTACGTCGTGACCAAGAAGCTGGGCGCCAGAGCTCGATCTGACGCTCCTCAGCGCGCAACAGGGGCTGCATCATCACATGAAGCCCCAGCCAGCCGCCAATCGTGCCCGCCGCCTGCGAGGCCTGCCGCGGCCAAGGCAGTGACGCTTCATCCAAATGTTCCGCAGATTTTAAAGCGTTGCTGATGGATGCAGACGCACGCTCGAACAATGTGAGTGCGGCCCGGCAAGCAAGAACTATGACCGTGATGTTTCGCACCCTTCGGGACGCCATGAGAGGTATGGCGTCATAACTGCCCTAACTACCCATTCTCGTACCATGGAACCACCTTTGACCCCACGGCCTCTACAACCGTGTCGACTCCTACATTTGCATTGGGTTTACCCAAGCGGGCTTCAACGAGATCATTTGGTTCTTGCGTGGATGGAACAATTACGTCCAAGATGCCAACGGCGAATGGGTCCTTGACTGGTGAATACGAACAGCGTCAGCTATTGAGCCTGCGAGCAGCTATGCCACTCTAACGAGCTGGTTGTACATTGTCAGCCTTAGGGTAGCTGAGCGTAGCTTGTGCACAGTCACAGTGGGCCATTTCTGCAGTCCTGGCCAATTTCTAGTTGAACAATAGCTGCACTTTTTGCGTGAATGAGCGCTTTTACAATGGTTTTCGCCGCCCTAGCGGGCCGGTAAGTGTCCCTTGTCGGCGATAACCGTGCACTCCTCATTTTCACTTCTGTTTTGCCAGTCATTCGGAATGATCGGATTTCCTAGTTCATGACAAAGTCATAACTAATTAGCTTTCTTTCGCAATCGCCTTTCCGTTGCACTTAGATGCGCGGGGGGTGCATTTCCTGAATGCTACTATATAGCTCACGTCAAACGTGTGTGTGCATTTGAGGTGTTCTGCTGGGAACTTTAGACTTCAGCTCGTAATGAGCACCATGCTTGGGCGCGAACACGAATTGTTTGTCCATACCTTTATGACAAAATTCTCCACAGGAGAAATGATATGGTTTCGGCGTGACCCCAAGTCCAGGCATTAAGCGTCGTAGAAAGGAATATGTGGAAGTTTCTCAAAATGGCACCTGCATAATCCTCAGTACGGACAGTCGCAATCCGTGTATATTTCCTCATATCCCTTGGGCTCCGTAAGGGATCTTGCAGGTGTGTGATGTGTGGTTTAAGCTTCTAATTTGGGCTCACGGCGCGGAGCACAGGAATCATGAGTTGGAACAATCACTGGCTGAGGGTCTATTGGACGGCCGATTTTTTGGATTTTTGTCCTGGTTCTTCGGTCCCATGATCCCGTGGACCTCTGATCCGGTGGTCTTGTGGTTCCCCCTGTCACTTTCAAATGCTGTACTTTGTCGCGTTTCAAATGCTCCCAGATCAGCCAAAGCTGTAATTTACAGCGTTTGAAGCTTTGACCCGTTCCAAGACCAGCGCACGCCGTGAATTGCAGCGCTTGAAGCGCTCCGAAAGCAGCACATGCTGTAATTTGCAGCGTTTGAAGCGCTTCAAGACCAGCAAACGCTGAAATTGACAGCGCTTGAAGCGTTCTAATGTGGCTCAGTCCCGGTGTGGCTCTGGTCACTTGGTCCTCTGGTCCTGTGGTCCTTTCGCGTTCTTCTGTTTTTTCCTAAGTTTACAATTATTCTTATTCGTGGTTACTATCATTTCTATTCGTGCTTGTATTCATATTGTTGCATTTCAGTAGTATCACTTTTATTCTGTTTTTGCTAGTACTGACATTACAAGAATGGCTGCGCCCCCTCCAACCTCACCGCTTTTAGAAGGCCATCCATGCTTGCCAATGTTTATCGCTTTAAATCATTGAATGTTTTCATCATTTTTCATCCTTTTCAGAAGTTTCCATGACCGTTCATTGTATTCATCCGTTTTCATGAGTTGCCAGGGTTTTTCATCATGTCATCTCCTGTCAATACCCCTCAGAAGTCCTATGATTTTTAGATCATATTTATCTGTCATCAAAGTCATCAACTGTCATCATCTCCATCATTTTCCATCATACAAAAAGCTTCATGTCCTGTCGTGCCTATGTTTGCAGTTGTTTGCAGTCAGGGAGGAGTATGCGGAGCATGTTGTTTCCAAGTGGGGGGGCTGCGCCCCCTCCCAAAAACCCCCGCGTATTGTTGAGGCCATCCAAGCTTGCTGTATCACAGAAGCATCATGTCATCAGTAAGGGAGGGTTATGCAGATCACTTGGTTTGCAAATGCGGAGGGGCTGTGCCCCCCCTAACCCCCCCCCGTTTAAAGGCAATCCATGCTTACCACTGTTCATCGTTTTAGATCATTTCGCGACTTCCATGATTTTTCATCAAGTTTCAGCATTTACGATAATTTTTCGAAGTTTTTCCATCATCTTTCATCACATCATGGATCATCATCTTCCATCATCGGTCAGCTATTTCCACGACTGTTCACCATATTCATCCGTCTTCACCAGTTGCCATAAGTTTTCAGCATCTCATCACTTTCCAATACTTCTCATACTTTATATGGTTTTGAATCATATTCATCGTGTCTCATCATATTCATCAACTTTTATCTTCTGCATTATTTCAACATTTTCCATCATTTTCGGGAGTTTCATGCGTTCCATCATTTCATGATGTTTTATCATGTTGCATGATTTTTTGAATATCAATTTTCATCATTTTCCATCAAGTTACATCATTACCATGATTTTGAATACTTTTGCATCCTTTTTCCTCATTATTTTCCCATCGTTTTGACCATTTTCATCATTCTTCACACTTTTGGTTCAGAATCGCGCTCTCGTGTGAGGCGTCCTTCGATTCCTGGGCCTCAACCCACCCCCCCCCTCTCCCCCCTTCCCCCCCCAAAAAACAACAAACAAAAAACGTACCAAAGCAAAGACTCCATTCACACCCAATGTTAGATGAAGGGAGGCCGTTCACTTCGCCAACAGCGGCAAAAGCTACTTTGGTTGGTGGGTGGTGCACCCCTGATGCGGTCGCAGAGTGACCATTGTGACAACAGCTGCAAACAGGCATCGCGGGGGTTGGTGGCAACCTTTGCGGCATGCCCCAGCTCTGGCAAGCACTTGATCTTGTCTTGACAACCAAAACCTACTTTCAAGGAGCGGTGCAGCTTGGGCCCTGTCTGTGATCGTGGTCACAAGAGATAGATTGAACTGGAGCAGGGTCAGCATACTGCTTGCATCATTCTGAGCTGCCATGCGTGAAGTCAAAGGGTGATGTACCTTGGTGCTTACTCTCGAGTTCAACCTCCCAAGTCAAAAATGATCCTCAACTCTTGGAAGCCTTCTATCCATCTTACAATGTTTTCAAACGTGCTTCAGCATCCTGCAGGATTCTTAAATATCGATTTCTTGCTCTCTTGGGACGACACACTCATGTGCATGTCCTGACTGCATCATGCGGGCTGTGAATTTCTCACGTGCTCCAATTTGGATGGACTGGAGAAGCGTAGGTCCTGCGGCTGGATGCTCCGCTTCAACGAAATCCTCGCAGATGCGCGAAAGTTAGTCATGGGCCTGAGTTTTTTTCCTTTAGGGATTATGGTGCTTTCTCACGACGCGCACCTGCAGGTGCCAAGTGGGCAGGGGGATGCACGCCATTCGAGGGTGACCAGGCGCGCTATGAAATGCAGTCGTCCATTTCAATTTCTTGGCGTTCAGGTTCTCCTTTTCTTAGGAGCCGCCAACATGGATCCGGCAGTGTATAAGGATGCGCAGCTCTTCAGGCAAGTACGTTGATTTGCTTCAATATGATTTCATATGTTTTAGTTCACAGATGGCAGCTCGTGGGCTAGCCTGACGAGTGATGTCCATGAATATGAATGTTTTGCATTGCAGCATTTGAGCTGCGCAACATTCTGCGCAGTGTATTTTTCAACAGTGTTGTTGTTATGCAATAATGTCTGTCGCCTTGGGGCGCATGTGGGTAGCAAAGCAGGCTTGACCGCCATGACGAGCCCCCGCCGCTTACATTCGGAAGTGGGCCTCGCTGGCGACTGCTTCCATTGCTTCTTGCGTAGTTCTCGGCAGACTTCTCCGGGTTGGTTGCACTTCAGCTTTGCGTGATCTGTGGCTGACCTGAGCCCGGGCTGTAAATGGAAGACGCTGTCATTGCGATGCCAGGATGCACTACTGCCTTGGGAGCAGTCCTGTCCTCAGCTATCGTTTGGGCATGTCTTCGGAGCAGCTTTAGCCAAATCAATGTTTGGAAGCATGTGTATGTAACAGCCTGGCAGCATGGGTCCAAAAGTTGGGGTTAGTGAGCTTGAGCCCTAACCCCACGGCTGTCGTCCCTCCCACCCCACACAACTGCTCTGGTGTCCTGATCATCGGCACTCAACGGAAGGTCTCGGAGTGTCACTGCCTGACTGTCCCTGCAGCGGCCAAACCCAAATTCCCTCGGGGGCTTGTATCTTTTTCATGAATTTGGAAATGTTACGGAGCTGTCCGCAAAATGGGTAAGGTCACGTACACCTGGAAATTCCAAGCAGGGGTCGAGCCCCAATAATCAGCCAAGATGCAGCAGCCTCCACCTTCGAGCTCAACTTTACCGAATAGGCATATTGTTTGTGGCTGGGATGCCCGAAATGATTAGATCCCTGTTGTTCACATTTGTTCACCTTATTCTTGTTGTGAGCCAACATCATTGACAGCCTCCAGGCATTGTGCCACACATGGGCCTCGCACAAGGTTCACGATGGCTTTCATGGGTGTTTCATTGTTCAGACATCAGGGGCTTGCAAGACTGAGCCTCAAAAAGTGAAATGCTCTACTTGATGCAATTGCCCAGCGTGTCTGCATGACGGCCGGCAAAGAAAACGGGGGAAAGGAGGGTCCCCAGTCCCCACACCTCTCTCTTGCAACTAAAGAAATGGGCAGATGCGTTCGTGCCCTCACCGCGGACTTGAATTCGATACAGTTGCGGATTCTCGTGCAGCGCTCACTGTTGAGGCTTCCACCAACGTCCCCTTCAAAAGACCTCACAGGTACCCGTGGCTGGGAAAAGGCGGCCTCCCGCCTGTTTCAGCCGCGACCCCCGATTTATGAACCCCCTCCAGCAGCAGGACTGAATGCGCATGTTTCTCACATGATTCAGAACTCCCAAATACTTCGAAAGATAGTCTTTAGCATTTAAGGTAGTTGGCACATAGGCGATGGTTCTGGGTAGTTTGGAGGTCTCGCAGACCCTAAACCCTTGACCCTAACCGCCAAAATCCAAAAACCAAACCCTCAACCCCAAAATCGGTTCTGGGTGGGCAGCTTGCTTGGGGCTAGCGGGCATGAGCCGCGTGTAGGTGTCACGGTTTAGGGCTCAGGGATCAGGATTTACAGATGAGAGCTCAAGGATTAACTGAAGGTTTATGAACTACGGCTTGGGGACTAGGATTCAGAGATAGCGTTTAGGAAGGGTTTGGGATTTAGGGTTTAGGGCTTTAGGAACTAAGGTTTACCGCCACAATTCTGGTCTCTGGGGTGGGGGTTGGCCAGTACCCGAGGATTGCTGTTTCGGAGCGTGCTTGCAGCATCTGTGCTAGCGGGACTTCATTGTGTAAATGTAGTGCATTACGCTTGCGTTAGAAATGACAATTCTTCTAGCACCAAGCTGGTAACCACAAATGCATGCGGATTCCATGTTTGTGCTTGAACCGTCGCCATTTTGGTTACAGCTGGTGCACTTGCATTGGAACATCTGTTCCTTTCTCATTGTTGGTGCTGCTTTGTGCTTTGTCCTCGTGGGACATCTGGCCTCATCTCACCATCGATCCTGCAGACCAACGACAAGTGCACCATCTCCTCAAAAGAGGAAAACACTGGCTGAGGGAACAACTGCGGTCTGAAAACAAGACCATACAACAAATCGTCCGCAGAGTCGGCGATTTCCATCGTGAGGTTCGTGACCTTGCGATCAACAACTTGTTCCTCGTGATCAAGTCCCGCCTCAGGGGCGAGTTCTTGGCAGGCTTCCTTCGCGAGGCCAAGGACATCATTTTGGGCACACCTCCTACCTCGCCGAGAGCATCATCCAGCTCCTCCTCTTCTACATCTAGTTCATCCACATCGACCAGCAACGATGGCGAATCAGCAGTTCGTTGAGCGCAACCGCAACCTGGAGCCATACCCGGCTTGGGATCAACTTCCTTGCCCAACTGTGCGAGAGTGGGCCATCTTCTTTGGGCAGAACATCACGGCAGGTGGTCTTTCAGGTAGATTGCAAAGTTTGCCCCGATGTTTGCACCCGACAACGCTGTAGGCGACCTCATTGCGAGTGTGTCCATCCTGATTTCATCGATTTTTCTTGGGTTCCTCTTAACTCACCTTGTAGAAATTTCTTCAGGGGACATTGCACCAGGGAACATTGTGAGAATGTCCACGGTAACACCTTCGCAGAAGCGGTGTATGCATCCTATTTACTACTTACGAACCAGCGGCCGCGCGTCATCTTGAACTACATCCAAGCCGCCAACAAGTTCGAGGTTGTAACGCGGCAGTCTGGCTCCAATATGCTCCTCAGTTCGATGTCGACAGGAGACATCATGGCTGCCAGAAGCTTCGTCTTCGGGATGAATCGGACCCAATGGGCAACAGCGGAGGCCTACTTCCAGTACATCAATGCCGGCGGTTGACACCCGATTATCTCAAGGTGGAGCAGGGCGCAACACCGGAAGAGGAAGGTCCCCCAGCGCCAGGAGGACAGGCGGATATCACTCATCACGGCCAAGCACACCAACGAGGGCATCATCCCCTACTCCCACCTTGTCCGGGCCCAGAGCTATGACCACATCAGCATCTTCCAGTTCAACAGCGGCGCCGTCCTTTGGGAGAACAACAGCTGCGCCGGACGACAGCAGACCAGCTGCCAAGGCAGCGCCGCCTCCGTTTGTGGCCCCGAAGTTCCCGCCAGCGTCTTTGAGGCAGGCATCACCGCGCAACAAGCAACCACGGTCACCACCTCAGGCATCCTCACCAACATCAAGGTTGAGCCAGCAAGCGTGAGGCACACCGCCCAGCACACAGCCCCAGGCAGCTCCAAAGAAGGCGCCGCCGTCCGTCCCAACTGACAATGACGAGCCAGCTCCAGCCAAGGCCGCGCTGCTCACGTCAATGTGGTGGCTCAGACCATTGCGTCCGGCCGCAAGGCACCACCACAACAGCCACCGCAGCAACCATTGCAACACCGCCGCAACGGCCACCACAAGCTCTACACACCGGCCACAAGTATGACTCGGGCACCCTCGCTGGCCGGATTCCAGCAGGAGATGCCACAATTGGGCAGGTGCCCCAGGATCACACTGTTCCTGCCAGCACCATTGCCACCGGCGCAGCAACAACCACCACCGCCGCAGATGGCAACACCGCGCCGCACGACCACAATACATGGGAACATACCAGGGTGGACGACGCGCAGCAACAAGCCTCCTGCCCATGCCTCCGGCAGCAGGATTCAATGGCAACAATTTGCCTACCGATGCCGCCATACACCACCACTTGCCCGCGTTGCCACCCATCCCTCCACGTGAAACCCTCGCCGGGCACGGACGTGCTCGCGCTGGTCACCCAGTCCTACGTGTGGTCCCTCATGACTGCAGCCATCGCTGCAGCGGGCCACAACAATGCAGAAAATTGCTACAACGTCGTCCGGGAAGGATACCCCGCAGTGGACAGGTGGATCACCATCCTCAGCGATGCCATCTTGGACTGCCCGTGCTACATGCTGCCGGTTTCTGGCCGGGCCACGCTGGTCATTGTGATTCGCAGCAGGCCAAGTCTACACATGCTGAGGCACATAACATGCTGCAAGGCTACCGGATAACATGTTGTAACAGCTTGCACTCACTAACACTGCAATGACTTCTGTTCGCTCGATGTGTCAGGTTGATCCTGATGTTCCGCTTTGGTCTTTGCAAGCTCTCCTTCGCCTAGGCGGTAAAGAGCACGGCGACAAAGATGCTACGCGGTGTACGATCGGGCCCCTCGCCTAGGCCGCAATCCCTCGTATCACTGAAAAGGCAACGATGATACAAATCATGTTGTTCAAAGGTGTGCTCTGTGGCCCCTCGCCTAGGCGGCAAGCCACGTTGTCACACCAAATCGCGCTACTCAGGATCGACGGCGCCAGTAAAGGCGCGCCGGCTGCCCAGTAGCGTAGACGTGGTTCTGCCATTCATTGTAGCTTGACTTCGATAACAGCTAGCGTCCCTCACACATGGCATTCCCCGCCACCATCTTGGCCGCGCCATCCTCGAGTGCACGACAGGTAGAGTACACCCATGCCTTGTCCTCGGAGCGCGCCCGGGCAGCTTGGACAACGCGCAACGCGCGGCTCACCGAGAAGGCGCTTGAATACATTGCGCAGAGGACATCGTTGGAGCGCGCAGCTCTCAGGGGCCTCAGGAACGACTTCCCCGGGCTCAACTCGGACGAGCTCGTCCAAAAATGGATCGACAGACTCACCGGTGCGGCTGCCACAGATGTACGTGGGGGACATCGTAAAGGAGAAGACCATCGACACGATGAAGACATCAATTTGGGCCTCTTACAATGCTCAGAGGGCAACGAGCCCCGCGAGAATTGCCTCGACTGCACCTTTTGTGGTGCGTGGTTTCCTCCATACAGACTTCTGGACATCACACCTCAGGGTACAGCAGATTGGAGGAACCACTACCCCAAACCTAGCGCAGGCTTGTCAGGGGCTGGTGCTGGGAGGGTGAGGAATCTTGGGGCGGCAGCGGGCACTAAGAGCCGCTGGCTCGACGAGCGCCCCGCTTCTCACCCTGGCAGAGCGCTAGGGCGACAGTGCCGGAGCAGACATGACAATAGTCAAAACAACCCCAAGGTTCGTGCTCGACTGCTTCACGGCATTCTTTCCAGCAATGGCCTTGCCGCATTTTGCGTTCAACTCCTTCATGGCAGTGCTGGTTTACACTAGTGGTGTCGCCATGGACCGCCTTCAACTTCTTCGTGGTGGATTTTTTTTGCCTCGGTGGCGTTGCTATGGTAAACGGCGGCGCTTTTTTGCCGCGGTGGCGTCCCCACGGTTCGCGGTCAAGTTCTTCATGGCGGCACTTGCTTTAACCGCGGTGGCGTCCCCACGGTTCGCGGTCAAGTTCTTTATGGCGACACTTTTTTAACCGCGGTGGCATCCACA